CTTGATGAGCTGCTAATCCGAGTGCTGCCAACACCTTCCCTTCCCAGCAGTGCTCTTCTCCCAGCAGTGTTTGCACTCCATCCCCATGCCCACCCCGTTCGTACCAGTCTCCGTGCTGCTATTCCTGATCCTGGGAAAGGGAGGATGCAGCTTGGGGAATGGCACCCCAGGAGGGTGCAGCCCTGGTACCTTTGGGGAACGGCACCCCAGGAAGGGATGCAAAGGTTTGCATCTCTTGGAAGCATTGTGTTACCAGAGCAAAACAGAGCATCTGGATGGGATGTGATGTAGGGTGAGACCAGCTGGGTTTTGGGGTGAATCTGTGCTGTCTGAGGGGTGTCTAGGCACTAGATATTCCCTAGTCTGCATAGTCTCTAACATCTTGCCTGGTGACGCCAGCACTGCTGGCTGCTCGTTGCCAAGGATCTGGGCTGGGGTGGGTGCTGTTTGAACCAATGACGTCCCAAGTGTTACCTTGCTTGGCCTTTGCTGGAGCCAGGGGGGGCTTGGGGGTCCGGAGAGGGGAGGGAGTGGGGCTGTGGGTTGGAAGGATGCCAAGGGAGGCTGCAGCCAGTGTGCAAGGTGTGGACTCAACACAAGCATCCCGAGGTAGCAGCCCCACAGCAGGTCCCAGCCCTCTTATGCCAACAGTGCATTCCCCCGGTCAGGGGGGAAACAGCTCTGGGGGAAGGGCTGATGGCATCCCTCCTCGATCCGTATCCATCACTCTTAGCCTAGGGGCTGTGCTGGAGGGAAAGAAAACCCAAGCGGCTGCGGCTGTGGCAGGTGCTCCTGTGGCTTGGGATGACCTTTCCCAGTGGGCTCCATCCCAGCGATTCAGTCACTCCATAAATCTTCCTTCCTCTGCGGTGTGGACCACGGAGAGGCAGCCCTGACTCAAGGCTGGGAGTGTCCAGCTGCGGACGCTATCTCAGCGGAGGAACCGTGTGTGGGGATGCCAGCATTTCCAGGCGAGAGACAATCGTGCTTTATTTCCCTGCCACATAGGAAAAATAATAAACATTCCTCGGGTTTGTTTTCAGGCTGCTTTGTGGAATAAATCTCAGACTGTTGTTGTCTCCCCGGTCCTGCAGAACTGCCTGTTCTCACTCCATGAGTCACCGACGCCTGCGCTGCTGCTGACGGCGCCTCCGAAACCCAGCGCAGTGGCCCAGGGGCTGCTCCATGTTGGATATGCTGAGGACACCCAGAACAGAGCTGCTCCACACCCATGGGGAGCTCAGGTGGGTACCAGTGTCCGTCGAGACCTATGAGCCCCCCTGGACATCTTTGTCAGCTACAAGCAGCAGCCTGGACAGCCCTTGCCACCTTGTCTTCTGGACCTGCGTCTTCCTTCCATGGACCCGAGCCTGACAGCATGACACGCTGCAGATCTTCAAGGTGAAAGGTCTGTCTCGTGGGAGAAGGGCTCTCCTGGAGGAGACCAGCATTTTGCTGGAGCCAACGGCCTTTCCCATTCCCACCGCCTGGGGGGGAAGGAGATCCAAGGGATGCTATGGCCTCTGTCCTTCCACCTGTGGGAACATCTGTCAGCAGTGCCCATTTTGGCGTGGTGGGATCTGGCCCTCTCCCACACGGTGCAGAAAGCTTGGCCTGATGCAGACCCTGATGCTGGAGATGTGGCTCCATCGGGGGAGAGGTGACCACACTCCTTCCCTGGCTGATCCCTACGGAGGCATCCGGACAACATGGGAGGTGCATCGAGAGGGAATGATCCACGCAACATGCTTGGAGCCAGGTTCACACCGCTGCTGATGGACCAGTCACATGCGCTGTTGGGTAACATGGGGGTGGGAGACAGCAGGCAGCGCTGGATGGGCACCTCCTGGAGCAGCAGTTCTTGGTGTGACCAACAAGCAAGGACTACCCACATCATCTCCATTGCCTAGCAGAGCATACCCAGTACCCAGCCACATGCGGAGACCTCATAAACTTAGCATCCAAACCTTGCCAACTTTCCTCCTGCAAGTGGTCCCACCCCCTGGGAGATCAAGGAGGCGCTGAGAGCTTGGTGTGGACCATATGTGTGAATGAGGGGAGCCTGGTGGGCACACGACCCCAAGTCGGCTGCTGCTGGATGGTCCTCACTGTGAGTGACCTGCGCTGATGCGCTGAGCCCTTTGGCACAGGTTTGGGGCACTTGGGTGTCAGAGCATGTCCCACGAGGTGGGATGGGGTAGGGGAGTCTCCAGGAGGTTGGCACATGCGCGTGGCTGGATGGCTGACCTCAGCCGCAGCATCGCTACACACGTGTCCCAAAAATAGCCAGTTTTAGAAACATGAAGTCTCCTCATGCTATTGCCCAACAGACGATACAAATATAGCGGCAGCAGTCAGTCTAGTGAAACCATCGCCAGAAATAGTGCGAGTTACGGCAAACAAACCAGCTCTTAGGAACGAAGGCGGCTGGGAGGGACTCAATTCCCGGGGCTGCCAAAAACGTGGCAAAGGACTAGTCCGAACTCAGGGTGTTTGCAGAGCTATCTGTGGCGAATAATGAAAAAAACCCCCAAAGGTAAAGTATTTTACTGCCTCACAGGGAGGGAAAAATGGGATGAGGAATGAATGAAGCACTGTTGCCAGGAAGGGTTGTTCAAGCACTGGAACAGCTGATAAAAAGGCTCGATGAGCACCATGACCCCGGGCACACAGCGGCTGCGGGGAGATGCACTGATTCAACTCAGGGGCAGGAGAGGAACAGACACTGTCGCTGATAGTTCTGGCATCCACACGCAGCCCCGCGGACAGCCCAGGTTCTTTAATTAGAGACGGGGTCATTTAGGGGAAACGTGACTGCAGCTTACAGGAAAGGCTTGCGGAGGGCGGGGGTCTTT